TGACAGACTGAGACCGCTGTTGTCTTCTTCTCTGATCAAACCATGTTGTTTTTTACTCTGATCAAAACAGTGTGGCCCCTGGCGGAAACTGCATGAATTGCACCTCATTAAAATTATTCATTCCGTGTCTTTTATGATTTTTTCACTTTTAAATTACCCTGCGGGCCTGACCGAAACTCTTGGGGGCCGGTTCCGGCCCGCGGGCCATATATTTGACGCCCCTGCTCTATATTATCAAGTTTTTATCAATAGTGTGTACGTCTGGTATGTATCGCCTGCGATGAACCCCTGTTGGCTGTGCTGATTGTGAAATGAAGTGAGCAAAAACATTTCTGATCCATTCCTATCATCATAGTAAATTTGTTCCAAAAGCCCCAAATTACTCCAGTGTGCGACAAATTTGGCATGCTTGCCAAAGTCACTGTAATGTGTTCAAAGCAGAGAAGGCAATAAAAAGCCCAAAACATGAAATACACTAAAATGATTTTAAAAAAGCAAAAGCAAAAAAAAAAAAAAAGATAATTGGGCTTCTACATGAAAGGCACTTGCACATACTCATGTCAGCTCATCCGCTTATTCATTGAACTGATAGTGGCATTTGCAGCGAAGGAAGCAAAGTAAGTTCAAACACTGATGACACAGCATCAAAAGTAAATGGCGGTTGACTATCTTGCTAAAGGATGCTCTGACAAGAATGAGCGGTCACCAAGAGAAATCTTCCATTATATCACCTGAGCCATTTGGTTCCAGTCATTGAATTTACTTGGTCGGCATATATTAATTAGTCTCTATGGTGATTGGATGGCTTTTCATCCTATGCAATGCGGTTGTGGTTGGGCTCATTGAATTCCAATCATCCAATTAAAGCGTCTCTTCTCATTCCCTTTAAATGCGGCGCACGATTACTAGACATGGGGAAAACAGAGCAAGTATTCCAATAGTCAGCTGTTGTCTCAGAGTCACTCAGAGATAGATATGGGCTGTATCTTTGCAATAATGCGACGATGAAAAAACATTCTCAGGTTCTTAATATGTAGGTGAAGGGAGAGACTCAAATATGACTTCCAGATTTTTTGCTGAGTCAGTTTGGTAAAAGGTCATTTAATCAAAAGTCAGACCAGTGTTTTTAAACAGGTGCATCTAGCTTGCAGGACCAGTCCAGTCATCAGTCTTAGGCCTGGTACATACTGTACATCAAGACAATCAGGCTGATGATTCCCCTCACATTAATAAGAACATCAAACGTGTGACGAGTTTATGTTAAAAACATTGTCCTGTTGTATTTCTATTTCGTTTTTTTTTTTTTTTTTTGCTGCACAGATATGCCACTCTTCTCCCTGTGTGTGTGCATCCACTAATCAATACCACAGCATGCTCTCCTTTACTGGTACGCTACTACAAATTTAGTACGTCCACTGACTGGAGTATCAAAAGCGTCATTATTTAAGTTTGAGAATGGGTCTTAGCGGTATCAGAGGCATCAACATTTCAGACAGTGTCGATCTCCCTTCAGCACTGAAGCATGTGTAATGTCCGTCTCGTCACAGCACATGTGATGCCATTTTAGTTGTAATTGTGTATGTGTATATTTGCTTGGAAATATCACTCAAACGTTGGGCAAACATATGTACAGTCATCAAGATTTTTCTGAGGTTTGGATAATGCTATAAAAAAAGTATGTAAGTACTATGGAAAACAAACAGACTATGAGCATGCATTAAAATAGAAGTATACAACATGTGTCATTCGTTTGATGGTTTTTTTTTATATCGTTTCAAAATATTCGTCTGTTCCTTTCATGTGAACTTTCTAATTTATATTTTTGGTTGAAATTATTTTTTTTTTACTTTGATGTAATGCAAAGTACCAAATGTAATCGTTTCATTTGGATCAAATATTTTTTTTAGTTTGAGTGGGATTTTGCACATGCGTAGCATTTAAAACTTCGGGCAAACATTCCCTGAGCCGGCCGTCCACCTCCATTACAGATTTGGACTTGAGCAGCAATGGACGTCGATAATATTAATGAGAAAAATGAATAGACTGTAGCATGATAACCTAAAGGTTGGTTACGACATTTTTGTTTTTAACCCTGAAACTGCCCTTGACTCGTTTTCAGCCCTTAAATTTGACGCAGTTACACAACTTGGATGGCACGAGCTGCCTCTTAAAGGTATACATTTCTCCCAGATAAAACAAGACAGTCACCATAAAACATTGATAAATAGCAGGGGGAAAAGCTTGTGCTTTGTGTCAAGCTTGTATGATTGTGTACATGTATAGTCTTTAAATTAGCAAGATAACCTCTGGTCTGCAATAATCACAATCCAAGTTTGATTTAACACTTTTTAGCTGTGAACATGTCTCAGAATAGTGCTCAACACATTAATATACAATATAACACTCATTCTTAAATGAACAAAGATATAGAAATAGTGAAAACCCCTCAAGAAAGTGTGCGTTTTGTCAAAAAAAATTCATAGTCATGGCCCTTGCAACATTCCATTTATTTGTGATTTTTTAATGAAGAAAATTTCTGTAAAAAGTGCTACGTATTTTTTTTTAACCATGAGTCTAAGCAGCGTGAGTACTTTAGGCCTACTCTTGTGTCTATCATGTATCCAGAAGTATAGAGATATGTACCCAACTGTGATTTCTTCTAACTTTCAAAGTATTAATTGCATTGTTGCATTGATATCTCCTAGATAAAGCTAAAACTAATGCTTTAGTTGAAACCTGACAGAATTGAAACCATATTGGTTAAGACAACAGTCAGAAGGCAAACAGCAGGACAAACAGTCTGAACCACACAAGAGGTGTGAAGAAAGAGGAAAGAAAAAGTAGGTGAACACGGTGGAGTAAACAGCACGACTGACCAAGGGCACCCAACAAAGAGTAACAGTATTCCTCCGATGAGCTCCATCCATCCAATGCTTCAAATCTCCACTAATCATGATGATGAGCAGGTGTTGCACGGAAGCTCCGCCCATCCATCAGACCATGAGACTGGAAAACAAAAATATAGGGCTACTACCTCAAGGTGCAAGAGTGTTGTAATGGAGAAGTAAAACTTGAAGCGCGAATACTAACCTAATACAGTCAAACCTCGGTTTTTGAACGTCTCTGTTATCGACCAAATCGGATTTGAACCAGAAAATTCGAGATTTTTACGCCTCAGATTACAACCGAAAACCAGTTTTCGATCAAACTGATCAAACCCGAATACACCACTTGACTCCTCTCGGCTTCCTTACACGAGGAACGTGTAAAGTTCATTGTGAGCAGAAGTGTTTGTTGTGATTTATGCAAATCAGACTGTTTTTTTTTGTTATTTCTGCATAGTGTATTAGCCCCTAATCATGGGTTAATAAAATAGTTTCAGATTTCGAACAAATCACTTTTCGAACAGCCTTCTGGAATGGATTATGGTCGAAAACCGAGGTATGACTGTACTAACCTATCCCTTCCGATGGGTGTAGGGATGTGGAATGTCACTTTCTTGGCAGGGAAGGAGCCCGAACTGGTGTGTGAGGTTGAGAAGTTCTGAGTAAATATAGTCGGGCTCACCTCCATGTTGGATAAGGTCTCTTAATACTGCAATCCAATGATTTAAGCTCAGGCGTTGTGTCGGCTATAACCTTTCATCTTGGCTCGGCGTCTTATCTTTGACATCAGTTGAGACTGTGGGGTCACATATTGTCAGATGGGCTAGGCAGAATCACCCCCCTTTTAGGTGGACGGCCAAAAGTATAAGAGTAGGAATGCTGGGGAAGGGGACTGTTTCGTTCTTCCGCTCTGTCGCAGATAAAAAGCCTACGGCCGTGCCTTGATCTTTCTGTCATCCATTAAATAGTTCAACTGAGAATATGCAGCCATCTGATAATTTCAAAAGCATAGTGAGCATTAAAGATACAAGAGCCAGCAGGGTCAACCTTTCATCCACACATATCTTTAGCTCTGGTACCAGTAGGATTGAGAGGGGTTGGACTCTCTTCCACTCTGGGGATGCCCATGATGAGAGGCGTCAAGTAGGCGTGGGTATACTTTTTGTCCACTGGCTCACTGCCTGTTCATTTTCATTCACTCCGGTGGATGAGAGGCTAACCTGTCATCTGACGTTTGGGTGGGTGGATGGGTCATTGCCCAGGTGAACACTGACATCCCTCATCAGACCAATGGAGTCCCCACCAGGTGTGCTCTCCACACCTCCCTCAAGGACTCCAAGTAGGGTAGATGGTGCATCAGACAGGTCACGAGTTGAGACAGGGAATGGAATGGCAGATAAACAGGCCGATCTGTGGTGAAGAAGGAGCTGAGTTGAAAGCTGTAACTCTCTATTTACAGGCTGTTCTTTTTTCCGACCCTCACCTATAGTCATGGGCTGTGGATCGTGACAGAAAGAGCAAGGGTTCAAGGGATGCAAGTGAATGGATGGATGGATAGGTCGAGTAGATAGATTTTCACAACACAGTGCAACGCGGGTATGCCAAATTACTCCTATTTAAAACTATTAACACATTTAAAAACTAAATATTGTATCAAATATCTTCATGAAATATATTAAAACATGAATACAAGCTCCTGTTTTCCCCTTTTTTCCTTTTTTTCCCCCTAATACAGATCAAAAATTATAATGAAAACCGATTGATAGGACACTAACTTTTGAACCACCAATCTTGTGAAGAGCATGTCTTTGGATAGTGATATGTGGCACACAAGATGGCTTTTTAAGACACTGTTATGCAGAACATCTATCTATCCATCGATCCATTTTCGGAACCGCTTTATCCTCACAAGGGTCGCGGGGCATGCTGGAGCCTATCCCAGCTGTATTGGGGCACTAGGCGGGGGACAGCCTGAACTGGTTGCCAGCCAATCGCAGGGCACACATAGACGAACAACCATCCACACTCACAATCACACCTAGGGACAATTAGAGAGCTCAATCAGCCTGACATGCATGTTTTGGGAATATGGGAGGAAACCGGAGCCTCGGAGAAAACCCACGCAGGCACGGGAAGAACATGCAAACTCCACACAGGAAGGCCGGAGCAGGGATCGAACCCATGACCTCTGCACTGTGAGGTCGACGCGCAAACCATTCGAGCACCGGGCCGCTGCAGAACATCTAATACCTAGAAATAAAGCCCATGTTTACTCCCTACCTCATTATACCCCAATGACACACACACACACACACACACACACACACACACACACACACACACACAGCACACACACGTTGAGCTGGCATCAGAAAATTAAAGAGACACTTGAATAGGCTGAACATTGGCCCTTATGACAGGTTTGGAAAATGATATCAGCATTAAAATGAAGACATCTGTATTTGTTTTTTTTCTTTCTTTTTGTGATGACTTTTACCACAAATTGCAACACCTCTTTGTTGGGAGGTTTAGAGGGAGCATAGGCTGCTATTTTTCATCTCTGCCTATCCATGTCATAGAGGGAAGGAGACAAGCATTGTGATTCCTCTATTGTTTCCTGGCTTGGTTTGTCACGTTCCATTGTCACCTCGTGCCTGAATTGCTGACCAGTTGCCACCACAATTCATATGCATATTCCTACTCTTGGCAACGTCTGAGACTTTATGACATTAATTATGAGCTCCTATGAGGATAAACAAATACCCCCCGAACCCCCAATGTAAAATATTGTGCTGATGATGGGTTTATTTTTACAGGCTGAAGTGGACAAGAGTAGGAGTGTGCATTTGTATTTTGGTGGCAATCAGTTGCAGTTTACCATAATTTACAGAGGTTTTGTTAGAACACAATTGTCAGGTTATCAGAACAAAATCGGCTTGTTACCATCCAGACATAGGGCTCTGTGTCATGGATGCCCTCCGCCGCTCATGCAGTCAAGTAGCTCTGCGGCCGCCGTTTCTCAGAAAATGCGAACAGTGTCTCTTCTTCCTCTGTAAGCTCTGCATACTTGAAGTTCGCCGATCCGTCCTCAGTCCCTTCCAATAAATGTTTCGTTGAATGTGTTCTCACATTTAATATCATCACATGTAAGTGATCCAAAACTCACTCTAGGCAATCAAAAACAGGCTCAATAAAATCATTTAAATCTGCAGTAAAATTACAGGTCAAGCGCAGCAGTTACAATTATTTACAATAAGAGTCATAAAAACGGCCCCTGGATATCAACTGACACTTCACACATCCTGCATTCTCACTACGTCCTGTTACTATCAGGGCATAGGTGTTGGTCTTTCTCCCCACCTTAATCCCCCTCCGAAATGGCTGATGTCTGCTATTGATTCTAATCATAAATGCATTGTTGCCCAGTTGTTGAAGCTGTCCTTGCTTTTAGTTCCATTGACATATTTATTTTTGTTTGTTTGTTTGTTTTTATCTGTTATAATGAATTACTGTATGTGTGATTGGTCATGTCTTGTGTTGCTGGGCCTCTATGTCTGAAAATGAAGTTCCTAATGGATAAATAAAGTGATTTGGATTGGATTTGATGTCATTATCTCTGTGTGGAAAAACCTTTCTCTCATAAAAAACTTCATAAGAGAGTGCTTCATTAAATTAAATGCACAGAGAAAATACAATAGTTATTTGAGCTAGGGATTGCGAAAGATTTTAATTAATTGCGTAGATAGTTTCACGAGTATGAATATGCTGTATGTTATGTTACCTATTAAACTTTACCAAAAAATTAATTCATTAATTAATTAAAGGAAATATTGTATGCTGTGGTCAAAGGTCGTTTGTATCAATATTCAAAATAAGATACAGTACAAGAAGTGATTAACAAATAACTTGGAAACACAGTGGTCATAAAAGAAGCATGCGCCTCAGGGTTGGTTTCATGATGATTTACTGTAATTTGCAAGGGAGGTATGAGTAAACTGAAAACAGTTTATTTTGGCCAAGCTTTATGTTGGATGTGTTCACTATTTGTGGTCTCACCATTTTAATAACAGATTCTGCAGTGCCCCTGAGTGAGTGGCAGTTTGTCTTGCTGACATTTAGCTGTGTCTTCTATTAGCCCCTCCATTTCTCCAGGGAATTCACTCACTTCATAGTCACGACTAGGCACGCTGCACAAATCAACGTCCAAAGTTTTCAGACTGAAATAAGTCGTTTCTATTGTTACTCTTAGTCCATAAAAGAACTAGGCGAAAGGAGGCAGAAGGGCTGGGAAAATATGGACATGGAGATTAAGTCAGACTTCTTTTTAGGATGTGACCATTATTTTGGGCGTACTGCAGGGAAAGACCTGCCACTAACTGCTACAAAGCAGATGGTAGCAACACTTAATGATGCAAAGCAGCCTATATTGATATTCCTCATACTTACTATAGCTGTTATTCCAACAGAGTTGCCGGCTCCCACATGTCCAAAGCAGCCACTATATAGATACTATAGGATTTTGCACTCATTATTGTCTTGGCAGTGTTCATTCCTAAGTCTACTCGCTACTGTGGGTGAATGCAGCCACACCACCGTGTCTACGTTTCAAACATGTCACTCCCAGGCCCTCATCCTGATATCGGGGAACTTCAATCATGCCTGTCTCTGCCACTCTCCCAATTTCACACAGTGTGTGAACTGCTTCACAAGAGACAATAGCATACTGGACCGAATGGATGCTAATGCATGCACACTCTGGGCATTCTGATCACAACCTTGTCGGTCTGCAAGCAATATCCAGTGTATATGAAAAGGCTGCTGGGTTTTTGTGATATAAAAAAATAGACTGTGATAAAAATCTATCCATCCATCTAGGATCTGAACTGCTTCATCCTCCCAAAGGTTGCGGTCGTGCTGGATCCTATCCCAGCTGATTTCAGGCAATACGTGGGGGAGACCCTGAACTGGTTGCCAGCCAATCGCAGGGCACACCCAGACAAACAACCATTCACGCTCACAAATCACACCTACGGACAATTTTGAGTGATCAATTAACCTACTATGCATGTTTTTGGAATATGAGAAGAAACCAGAGTACCTGGAGAAAACCCACACAGGCACAGGGAGAACACGCAAACTCCATATAGGAAGGCCGGAGCCGGGATCGAACCCACGACCTCTGCACTGTGAGGTCGACGCGCTAACCACTTGTCCACCGGGCCACCTGTGATAAATAAATTTGTAAAATTTATCATTTCAAAATTGTTTCCAGCAATATTGTGAACCACAGTATGAGCTGAAAAATTCATTCATCCATACATCCGCTTCTGATCCGCTTATCCTCACAAGAGTTGTGGCGCATATCACTTGGGACCGCTACATCCACTACAACGGCTTTCCTCTGCCCTTTATCTATGATCACGTTCTATACACACACACACACATATATATATATATATACACACACACATACATATATATATATATACTGTATACACACACACATATATATATATATATATATACTGTATACTGTATAGCTAGACAATAAAGCAAAACATCAATGACATTTATGATTCAAATTTTGACGTGGCCATAGTTTGGATGCCTAGGAAAGAATCTAAATTGATAATCGTTAGAACCAGAGATTGAACGGAATTGTTCAAATTTAAAGGATGCCAAACCCTACTCTATGCTGTGTTTTTTTCTCAGTCATTTGTACCCCAACCAGTGACTCCAACATTTCCAATGAATACAATGCCGTAATGCTACATAATGACATTTAATACACCTATTTGCAGCGCGAATGCCTGTATTTCACAATACAGTCGAGAGTGCAACCAGCGCGAGAAACAAACAGAGATAGTGTGAGGAAAGTAGATAAAAGCAGTGGAGCTCACCCTGATTGTATCATAGAAATAGACCACATATGGCTCCCAACTTTTCCTTCAGAACTATTGTGAAGAGGTGTACAAAGCTGTGTTTTGGACTATTTCAACTGCTGGAATTAAAAAAAAAAATTGATCTATGAAATAAGAGATGCTGGTGTGCTGGAGCCTATCCTTGCTGTCTTCGGGAGTCGGTGGGGTATACCCTGAACTGGTCGCCATCCAATCACAGGGCACACTCACAATCACGTCATTCAAAAATCACAAATACCTGTACATTTGAAGTTAGATTGCCAGTTTATTTTAACAAAAGCACATTTGAGTCATGAGTATGTTTGGTATATTTGGACTATGTAACCCATGAACCCAGCCCCATTTCATGGTGCCGTGTCAACTTGTGTGACTATTGAAATAACAATCAAGGAATGAGGGGTAGGAGGCTACTGCCTACTATGTGATTATATCCTCACTGTTAGACTGCTGATCACAGTGTGGTAAATAATAATAGCCATTAAGGAAGGTTGTGTGAGATAACATGAAAGATTCACACTTGCATCCTCCTCTATCTTTGACTCCCATCATGATTTCTTCTCTCCTTTCTCTCTTTCGCATCTCTCTTCTCTCCAGTTCCCAGTTGTATTGCTCCCTTGCTCCCCTGCCACTGTCTCTCCTCAGTGTAGTTTCATGCAGGTTCAGCACCTACTGAGGACACAAAAGAAAGCAAAGGAGGCAAACGGCCTGTTGCGAACTCAAAACAGGGATTGGTTCCTGGAGAGATGCCCTGTTTAAAACAAAGACGTACAGTACCTGTATTTGTTGAGACTGCAAAAACCATTAATAAAGTCTGCGTTTAAAAAAATATAAAACCACAGCTCTCCTTTTTTCAGTAAATACAGGTGCGTCTTTGTCCGTCTCCGTGCCTTCTCTTCTTTCGTTCAACTTGAGAGGCGTTCCTGACCGCCTCCGAAAAATGCATTGGCATTTCCTTGATCATAGCTCCAACATAACTATCAGATGTCAGTCGTAGTTATTTATTCCTTTGTTGTGTATTCACAAATGATGAAATCACAATATAAATTCTGTAGGGAGGGGGGGGGCTATAGAATTTATTTTGTGATATCCTCGCTTGCTTTTCAGTTTTGATGTATTATTACAGTATCAACTTTCGTAGCTTCATTGAAGTAATCGTTAGTTCACGTTTTTCGGAGGCGGTCTTGAACGCCTCTTGAGTCGAAATGAAGAAGGCACGGAGACAGACATACCTGCATTCGTTGAGACTGTTTTTAAAAAACAACACCACAGATCTCCTTTTTTCGGAGCCGCAACAAAAACTTATTTCATAAAGCAGCGACACAGTTCACTGAACCAACAGCAAGTTATAACATTGTAAGCATGTCTCCAGCAAGGAGCCATCTTGGGGTCGACATAGTACCGTAATGACCATATACAAGATGCACCGGATTTTAAGGCGCTCTGTGAGCTTTTAAGAAAATGGAAGACTTGTTGGTGCGGCCTATAGTGCGGAAAATACGGTATCTGCATTTCCAAATATCTCCTTAAACATTGCCCATCTTTATCCGCTTTCTACCGGCTCACTGTTTTGTATACACTGTAAGAAATAAACATGTTAAATTTGGACCTTTGAGGGTCCAACGCAGTGGTTCTTAACCTGGGTTCGATCGAACCCCAGGGGTTCGGTGAATCAGTCTCAGGGGTTCGACGGAGCCTCTGTCATGGAGGGTAAGACACCCTCGACTCACTGTGTCAATTGGTTACGACTTGCCCGCTTGGCCATCACCAGCTGGTTCATTTTGTGCACAATTAAAAAAAATGCATACTTTATACTAATTACTTGTACTATACTAATTCTGTTTATTTTGTTCAGTTTTTAATTAATGCGTTTCTTATGTCTTGAATTTGTAAAAAAAATTATATTTTTATTTTTCAGTAATGAAGGGTTCGGTGAATGTGGATATGAACTGGTTGGGTTCGATACCTGAAACAAGGCTAAAAACCATTATTAACAAAATTTTTAAAAAATTTTCAAACAGTTTGCGTTTGTCTGTAAAGCCAAAATGTGGTTGTGTGGATCAAGGGTAAACTATGTGTCACCAATAAATCAATGCTGAGATACGCATTTTTCGCACTATAAGGCGCACCTAAAAGCATTTAATTTTCTCAAAAGCCGACAGTGCACCCTATAATCCGATGCACTTTATGTATGGAGTTACAATCTCTTTATATTCCCCAATGAGTTGTTTCCTTGTTAGTGTTCCTGTGCCATCTAGTGGTTATTAGCATGAATCCACTGCAACCGCAAAGGGTTCTGCCCCACACTAATTGACATGTGCAGTCAGCAACACACACTCAGACAACAACTTTGCGAGCGCTGAAACGAAGATAATACCAAAAGCATAGTTAACTATTGACCAAACGAAGGAAGAAGGAGACAAGCAAGACGTCAAAGGTCCAAAATAGTTAACAGACCCATTAAATGAGCTGTCAGATTTTATCAGCGGGTCGTCCATTTCTTGGCCTGCTTGGTTAAAAAAAATAGAGAAATGAATGAAATTCAATGTAAAAATATTAAATGAAATGATTAAAAAATAACTCCAATCAGTCTCCAAAACTCTGTCTTCACACAGCAGGTCTTCCTCGATGCCTGCCATAACTTTTACAATCCGTTCTGGCCTATCATGTAAAACAAGCATCTGACACATATAGATCTTGAAGCAACACATGTTCCTTTAGACCAGGTACTGCCTGTTGATCACCATATAAATGGTACATGGTTCTTAAACGTTTGAATTTTTGGTGCCAGTCGACCATTTCCTAGCTTGAGCATTAGCTGCTTTATGAAACCAAAGGTGTTCGTCATGCTCATCGGGTAGTTGAACTGAAGGGCATAGATCAGGGGTCGGGACCTTTTTGACTAAGAGAGCCATGTAAGCAAAATATTTGGAAATGTATTTCAGTGAGAGCTATATATATATATGAGTGCTGTCAGTTTAGCACGTTATAATCGGCGTTATATAAAACTGTATTTTAAAAGTGAATTCAACAAAATGTCAGTATAATAAGCCTCTGAATGTACAGTGATTTTTTCAAACATGTTCATAAAAATAAATAAATTCATATACATCGTACAGTACTGTATATGTTGCTCTATGTGAGTCGCTGTTGTTTTGCTGTCTTTCGCAGCTCCTCGCGGACCGTTTGCAGACTTTTTGCGGACTTAAAAAAAAAAAAATTATGTTTACTGGATTTTGTTATTCATAAACTAACCTAACTTATACATGTTTAAATCTATTAGTATACAGCATTAAGTCATGTTAATTACTTCAAAATCTACTTCTACATGCATGTATACCATTAAATTTGGCCTTATCGCGGGTGGTTTTGGTCCCCATTAACCGCGATAAACGAGGGATTACTGTATTCTTTTAAATCATTTTGTGATAATACTCGCCATTAATGTGAATGGTTTTCCGTTCCTCACGATTGCTAAAAATCCAGCAAAATGAGCGGAATTTTAGTCAGTTTGCCGGGTCCATACGCGGAGTTGCTGCTGGCTATCTTGCACCCTGCTCAGTAGCTTGCACGCTTCCTTTCCGCTGTCTCTCGCAGGGTATTTTGATGCGAACGTAGCATGGCGTGTGTCAAAGTGCCGCTTCACATTTGACCGTTTCATCGATGGTATTTTGTCATTGCAAATCAGAACAGAACCTGTTCTCTCCACAAAGGAGAATCCTTCGGTCCATTCGTCCTGAAGTCTACCATACTCGTCATCTTTTTTTCTGTTCGCCATTTTATTAGTTTCGGATTAGCTTTGAGCTAATGACCGAGCGGGCTGATTCAAAAGGGGGCGTTTACCGGTTTCCGCAGCAACGGCCTACGTAGGCCAGTATTATCCAATCAAAATTGCTCCTGGAGCCAACTCCAGCCGTGAACAGGAAATGAGCAGGAAAAAAAATCGATGGATGGATTAAACAAGCGAGAATATTTTGTTTTATCTGCGAGGCAGATGCAATCATCAAAAGAGCCCCATATGGCTCACGAGCCATGGGTTCCTGACCCCTGGCCTAGATGAATCAAAAACAAGGCAAAATGCCAAATGCAGGTTGGCCAACTTGTACTGTACATCATCACTTTCCCTTCCAACTTTGGATGAGTTAAACTGAGTCTTTGTTTCTTGGCTGGAGATGCTCTACTGTTGTTCAAGGGCACATAGGGTGGAGACGTGGAGAAGCCCGGACTCACTGTGGACACTAGTGGCTCACATATTGGGATAAAAACATCACAACACTGTGTCTTTGTTAACATGAGTAGCCTTCTTAAATTAAACTGCATGCACCGATTCATGTGAGTCTATTTTCCATTCTCTTATTTCTGCACACCTGCTGTATTTATGAAACATTTTTCTTTTCCTACTAATTAACCATCTAGCTTAACAATTGACTTGCTTTAAGCCCCTCATCCTCTGAAGTTATTCCAAAGGACTGTCAGTCATAGTTTCCAATTAATTTATATGTTAAACATTTATTTCTCATCATCTTTTTATCCTGACAGCATTTGCCACTATTTTCTCATTCTCCTTTCCAATTCGCACCTCATAGACAGCCTCCATGGCTCCTTCTTCTTCCTCCAAACTGGGTTTTATCTCACTTGCTGTTGCTCTGAGCTGTTCACTCTTCCGAATCTATCGTCCTGCAAGCTCACAATTCACGTGCACACATACCATTTCTCTTCTGCCGATCTCCATTCATCTTCTTTTAATTTCCTATTTTTAAAAATCATCCTGCCAACAGATGCGGCTCATTACCGATGTAATATAATGTAGCATAATGTAATATAATTTAACAGCCTACCCGTAGGTTCACGCATATTTTTTTATTGGTCTATATTAAAATCATCCTGTTTTCCGTGTCCCAAATGTTATTCATCATCAGGTCAAAATTTCTCATGACTTTGACAGGAAACAAACAATCACCAGCTATGTAACCAAACACCGCATTTGAACCGGTTTGGACGTAATATATTATTATTATTACATACCAACAACAACTCAGCTCTTGGCTCCCTGATGGACCATGACAAGGGCATCCCGTTCCTTAATTGTATTCCATGTCACGGAATAGTCAATCACTGCAGCAAGCGCTCTCTCTCTCTCTCTCTCTCTCTCTCTCTCTCTCTCTCTTTTCTCTTCCCTCTCTTGTGAACCGGTTTGGACGTAATATATTATTATTATTACATACCAACAACAACTCAGCTCTTGGCTCCCTGATGGACCATGACAAGGGCATCCCGTTCCTTAATTGTATTCCATGTCACGGAATAGTCAATCACTGCAGCAAGCGCTCTCTCTCTCTCTCTCTTTTCGGTTTCATGTCTTTAATCCAAATTCTCATCGGAATTTTCTTGACGTCATCTGAAGTTTAGACCCTGGCCAGGACAATTCAATTTATTCCTTCTCATGACAATTGACGATATCCACAGTTCATTTCCGAGCTACTTATTCATACGCTAACATCTCTGACATCTGACAGGTAACAGCCCCATTTCACGCAACCTTCGAAACTTATGGTACATTTAAATTCACAATTGGAATTTGAACATTCTAGGGTATACTGCATTCACACACAAGGTTCACTTTGTGAGAAAATTTCATCTGACATGACATGTCTTATCGGTGCACATGAATTCCCCTACTAAGCTTCTCCCTATTTGTCGATTTTTATTTTATTGATTATAATTTTGTTGTTTCTTTTACAATTAGGGGCCTTCCCCACTTTTGCGATTTATACTTATAATAAAATTAAACTTAGGGAAAGCATTTCCATGACCAACCAGCTAGCAGACCCGCCTCCACGGGACCTTTTAACTACCCCCAAGGCCATGTAGCCACAAGGGCACGAGCAGACCACATCCAACATGAGTAAAAGCATCTCCTCTTATTATAGTCAGATATTTTTTTGTTGAAAGCTGGCATCCCAGCGGACGGAGGCCCTGACTAGAAGTACGAATCCTTTTTTTGTGATGCCAAATCTGAAGTGTACGGTATTTCTTTTTGCGGAGCGAGGCCATCGCAGGATGCTTCAGAACCGCCGCCAGGCAATGATGGATTGGTGATAGAAATTAACTTCTCTGACTCTTTGATAAAGATTTCTATTTTGGTCTCATGCTGATGTCAAAAGTCTCCCAAAGATGATGGCACGTGCACGTTCCCTCTCTTGTGTCTGTTTTCTGATAGAGAGTGACATGAATATTCAAACTTACTTATTACATATGTGTTTCTAACACATGAAACACCTTAGTCTTTGTTACTTCTACTATTTCTCAAGACTGCAGGGTTACTCACCTGTGTCTCATCTAAGCACAGATGGTCACAATTAACTTCCTCTTCTGCTCTGAGAATGATCTGACATTCAAAGGGGAGACCATAAAAGTTTTACAATACTCATTGGAATGTCCGCTATCGGGGTCGCTTTGTGAATTTTCAACACCTCTCAGGCCATGACAGAGCCTTCTTGATACGAGTATAATTTAATCAGGCCAGCTTCTTTCATCTTAGGCAGCTGGCTAAAATAAAACTTCTCCTTTCTCATGAGCACTTTGAAACAGTAATTCATGCCTTTGTCACATCCCGGCTGGATTACTGTAATGCACTTTACTTTGGAGTCAGCCAATCCTCCATTAAGGATCTCCAGTTGGTCCAGAATGCTGCTGCTCGCCTCTTGAATGGTACTCGTAAGAGGGAGCACATAACTCCTACTTTGGCATATCTTCACTGACTAGAGTTCGTTTTCAGATCCTATTATTTGTTTTCAAATCTTTAAATGGCCTCGCTCTACCTTACCTCTCTGAGCTCCTTCGCTCCTGCCCGGTGCCTCAGGTCTGCGGGCCAGGCATTATTAGAGGTACCAAGAACTAAGCGGAGGCTCAGAGAGGATCGAGCCTTTTCCGTTGCTGTTCCCTCTCTTTGGAAGGACTCCCACTGAAAATTCGGTAAGCCCCCTCACTGCCCATCTTTAAAAGTCGTCTCAAAACTACTTTCTATTCTTTCGTTTTGACTCAGCATGACTCAGACTTGATTTTTAGTTTTACTGTTTTTGTACTTTCTACTGTCTTTGTTATGAATTTCTTGTTTTATTGTTTACTGTTGTATCTATGATATTTGCTCCATGTACAGCACTTTGTATACAGCGATGGTTGTTTTAAAGTGCTCTATAAATACAGTTCAGTTGAGTCCTCCCTTCATAATTAATTGAAGAGAGCTGATGCAATATCAGAGGTATTCTATATTATCATGTCCCTCAGTAGATACTCAACAACATGAATGGATTGGCACAAATTGCCAGAATGACCTCAGTTGACTTCAATGCCACTATATAACCACACTTACCATAGTTGAAATACAATTAAATGCCAACATTAGCACGTAACTCTAATTCTGGCCTCCACTCTGCACCCTGTACATTTTAGAGTTCATTTAAGGTTTATTTTCCTTTCAATTGTCTCGTCCCATGTTGCCTCGCTGAGCTTGCCCAACTCCACACACCTGCCCAGTGGCCAAGGCCAGCGGACCAGATGCTACTGGAGGTACGGAGAATTAAGTGGATGCTTAGAGGAAATCGAGCTTTTTTTCGTTGCCAGTCTTTCCATTTGGAACAACTTTATGCTCAACTCTATGTCCATCTTTAAAACTAATCTTAAAACTTTTTTAATCTTTGGCTTTTAACTCAGCGCATGAGACTCAGCATTGTTTTGGTGGGTTATTGTGTTAACTGTTTTTATGCTATTCATTTATTGTTTTAACAGTCTTTGTTTTTGTCTGTGAGCACAACTATGTCTGATTTGTATGCAGCTATGTTTGTTTTTAAAGTGCTCTATAAATAACGTTGAGCTGAATGTAAGAGAGAGCCTTAGTTGAGCACTGGAGACTCACCACCTTCACCCCTTTGTGTTGAAAGCAATTGCTACTTCATTTTGATGTTGCCATAACAATCACTATGAGGACAGCAATGTGAATGGCAAGAAGTCTATCTAAATAGGACTGGTAAATAATTCCTTCCTACTAAAGCTCTACTGTCTCTGCCTCTGGCGTGCCTGAGGGTAAGTTATCAAACCTACGGCCCACGGGCTAGATGAGGCCCGCAACCAGGTAGAAAGGTAAGCACGGCCCGACTGAATAAGTAGCCACCACAAATTTGTCAAATGGCCAATGTTAATTGCACTCAAGATACATCCCTAAACTTATTTCACTGCACTTTTACCATACCCCTGATTCCTTTAATTTGCACAGCAACAAAAATATGGTCATTCAAAAACTCTCATTCAAAGTGTTACATTTCTTGATATTTGCAAATTGATAAGCAAATCAACTTGTTCAAGCAAGTGGCCTAGATGTCATTGTTTTACACACAACCTTAATTCATGGTTTGTTAAAAAAAAAAAAAAAAAAAAAAAAAAAAACACAAACAAATACACATCTATTAAATATGACACATTCAACTACTGGTAACATACACATATATAACAAAGATTAACATCCTCATAATTTAATTAAATGCACAGTGCCACGCAATGCTACTGGGAATCGTAGATATGCAAATTAGGTTCAGATTGATATGACATGGCCATCCCGACGGCGACGTTCAAGCAAATTGTTGCCACTTTCCGTGATCATGAATGAATTCACAATGGGCGGGGGTTTTAATTGATTTGTTATTACAGCTTGACACAGAGTGCTCCAGTATTTGACATGATGTCATCACTTCTTTGTGAGTTTTCTTCTTCTTCTTCTGTCCAAGACAGTTTATACGTTATTACATGAGTGCCATCCAGTGTTCAGCCTGAGTCACCACAGTTGAATGAAACGGGAAATAAAGAACATGACGACAAAGTTGTGTTGCCAAATGTCAGGTTCAGTGTTACTTGATGCACTGCTGTATTCAATTGAATTGTTTGCACTTCACAGTACTGTATTCCTTGAAAAGAAGTTGTACAACCACACTTTTTCTTGCAGTGGATATTTGTGTTTCGTTGTATTTATTTATTTGAAGTTATATATCATGATTTTACTGATCCGGTCCACTTGGGAATTGATTTTCCTCCATGTGGTTGCCGAGCTAAAATGACTTTGACACCCTTGCTTTAGGTAATTTGTTTTGTTGATACCTTATTGTAGGAAATGAAAACCTAATTTGACAATAAAGTTGTACTTGATACTTGACTTGATAATAGCACCCCCACACACTGAGAAAAATGGCATGTTGATTTTACTCAATATTATTTTGTTAGGTGGTTGCATGACATACAATCGTTTGGATCCAGATACATTTTTAAAGAAGGCTATACATCAACTTCAAAATCTAATTCCAGATGATTCTATGTGTGACCACTTTATGAAATAAATATTAGTAAAATCAACATACAGTATTTTTTTCAGCCTCTTTCTGCAGCTGAAATGCCAACTCTTGTAATCTCACACACACACACACACACACACACACACACACACACACACACACACACACACACACACACACACACACAGTCTCTCTCTTGTCTCTATGCACCTGTGCAGGTCAGGCTTGAAAAAGAAGGATGTTTGAACCACTGTGTGAAGTTCATCAACAAAGTCAGTCTCAAGTTTTTTCCACACGACAGAAGCTGTTGAGATTTCGATGCATTTTGTGACTGATTTTGCCTCGTCTGAGTCGGTGTAAAATAAGACAATGCAAACACAATTCGGAACTGTAAATGGAAACTGTAATCACTTATCTTGAATAATCGAGAACATTAACACCCTGATATTTTGGCACAGAGCACATAAAACAGCCACTGCACAGTAAACAGCAGGTAACAGTGGAGGCAGGAACAGATACAAAGCACATCTCAAAACATTGATAATCATACAGAAGTTATACATAATATTTCAGTTTCAAACAACAACAAATAATGGTCTGGTTTCGGAGAAAGCCACGACAGTACAAAGGAACTATTACAGTGACTTGCTACATTTGCTTTGATGACAAAAAGCAGTACGGTCACCAGCAATACACAGACACAATACACAGTCGCAGCATCTGTGTGAGTAACTCAACAGGCGTGGCTGCGTCTGATCAGTGTCTTAACTGCACATAGTCTCTGCTCAGCCAAGTTTCATATTTACTACTGATCTGACACATGTACAGTACATTTCACAGTATATGGTCACCACAAAAGGCATGCCGTTGTTGTAACGTGTGAACTTGCAACTTTAAGGTTTTCGAAATAATGCTGAAGGCCGAAGAGGCTTGGTGCAGGCCCACACTGATTTCTAACAGCACCCTTTACACACCAGCACTCACAGAGGATGACAACACCTGCTCATATACAGTCACATGCACACATAAAACTTCGGCATTTTTGTCACGAAAATGGTTTCACTTGAAAATGATTACATATACTGTATTGTCAATACTGCTACTGAGTCAAAATACTAGTTTTCAGAACATCATCGACTTCAGTTGTTCTTTTAATTATAGAAAAATGGAGGATGGAAAAGATGTATTCCTAAGTGTTTATATGGAAACTTTGCATTCTTACGCCACAGAATTGTTGACTTTCCTGTCAGGAATCGGTCAATCAGTGTTCCACACACCATCGATTAATTATACATAGCAATACATGTAAAGTATATCTTTTTCTAATATCAAGGTTAGTTCTCCTTACAACACATGAGCAACAATTCACATTTGGTCAGTTAAAGAAGTGAACACCAGAAAGGTAGAGAGCTAACTGGAGTATTTTCACATAGTGACACATTCATATCGCCATGTTGTACAATGACAATAATTCACAATTATTTCTATTATTTCCAACCCTTGACTATCCTTGTTAAACACAATGTATGTGATGTTCTTTGAATTTCAAACATCCTACAGTTCCTGGAAAATGCATCCATCCACTTCCCAATTACTTACTTTTGGAGGTTTCACCCTGGTAATTAAATATATGACATGTTTTGAGCCAAGCTCGGGCCAACTGGGCACACGCACAACCTGGAGAATGCACCTAAGTCTCAACGTGCATGAATGTTTCATCAGGGGCGGAGCTACAAAGTGGTCAAGGACACCCCTTGTTACTCTGTGGCCACCTCATACTTAGGGGATAATTTTGACATCTGTGATATTTTTCTGCCATTTTCACACGGATGCAGGATTTTTAAAATATTGTTTTTCATATATATATATATATATATATAGTGTGTATGAACCACAAATTTAAAGAATAAACGTACAATGTAAATTTCCCCAGTGTGGGACAAATAAAGGATATCTTAATCTTACAATTGATCTGAATGGTCTAAAATAATGTGTTTTGGGAGAACATTCAAGTCTTCCTTATAACATCAATGAGTTAGTTTACACGATAGCAAGCAATCAACATATCGCAGAATTGTTTATCATACAAAAATATGCCATAAACCACTCTTGAACACACACTCATAATACAAGCAAGAACAAACCTGGTCAGTAAAAAAAGCAACATTTAGAATTGTAGAGCAGAAAGAGACTTTTGCAGTGACACAAAAGTCTTTTTAGATGTGATTTGCGTGAATGAGCCATTGATCTGTGTATGCAATATGGCGTTCGCCGTCTGTGACAATAGCTCACCCGATTGCCTGTTGGATAGCGAATCAATGAATGAGCTTTAAGTAGGCTATGAAAGCAAAGCCACTGCAAAGACAATGGCCTTATCGAGTAAATGATGCTCAGCAAAATGTTGCTTTTGACTTGGATTGATTCCTGCTTGATTATGAGCGTGATGGGCATTGGACGTGTGGATTTTATTTCATGAAATCCTGACCCCCCCACTGAGGTGTCGTGTCACCCTGGCCACCCCACTGACAAAATTCTGGCTACCCCCCCGAGCCCAGTGTACATATCCACATGTGTGCTCTTCCCACCTCTCGGCTGTAATTAGCATGATTGGACGGCGAGGGATGGGGAGAAACAGAGGAAGATATGACGCTGATGAGACCACACACCCTGCTGTGGAGCCTGCCCGGCGCCTCGCCATAATAAATAACAACCTTGAGTCTGCAGAGTGTGTTGCAGAGAGAGACAGCACTCACAAACAAAGTTGATTAAACATTCATTAAAGGCCCGGCATGTTCACCTGACCCGGTCAAATGACAGCAAGTACATATCATCTATTCTATTGTGTTTTTCTTTCCCACTAGGCAAGAGACAACAAATATGATGAATGACATGCTAATTTGTTGTTACTGTTCACTTCCCATTCTCAGTGCTGTCTCAGCTGCTGCACCACAACAATGGCCGGTCTTGCAGTACAGTATATCAAATTAGGCTGAAAATTACATTTGGCTGGGTGTGTTTGGATTCTTCTAATGCAACTCTATCATTTAACTTTGTACTGAAATGAAATCTGATCAAATTTGTTGGGTAACATTCCCTACTTACATGAACAGATCAGATCAGAAACAAATAAACATTTTCACTCCATATAAAAGAACAAATGCAAGCTTATGAGTACTTGGTGAAGGTAGGCAACTTAGGAATGGAATATGACACCGTGTCACATTCTTTTCTGACATAGGCAGGATAGGAACCAATCAAAGAGTGAGTGTCATTTACATGACGCGAATCTCTTGACGGTGAAAGAAAAATTCTTTGGACAATGATGCTCAATTTACAGCCGCCAAGCCACTTGGTCCCACCATCTACATAATCAACAAGGAAACAATTCTCATCTTTAAGAGCTCATTCAAATGCAAAAACACGTGCGGGCAGAAACACGACAAGGCCCCACTGATCCTCAAGAAAGGAAACATCGAGAGGCAGGTTGGATGCTGAGTCTAATCAGATGACTCGAATTAGAACAACCCTTACGCGTTCGCTCTCCCAGAGCCTTCTGTTTGGACTTGTCTGTTAGTGACAAGACTTGCTTGCCAATGCAGTCATGCAAATGATGCCAATATTGTCCGTCATCCTGATGGACCTCTTCCAACTAAATTAAATCTGGATTGAATAAATTACTGGCTACAGTCGTGCTTAAACAGCAAAGTTCAAAGGGCACAAAAACACTCCAGTGTGCGAGGACTGTAATTATTGTCTTTGTGTTTGTTTGTTCCCCCCCATTAGAATTTTTCAAGTCGGGCGGCCCGATAGTTGAGTGGTTAGCATGTCGACGTTCTCCCCGTGCCCGCGTGGGTTTTCTCCGGGTACTCCGGTTTCCTCCCACATTCCAAAAACATACAAGGCAGGCTGATTGGACACTCCAAAATTGTCCTTAGGTGTGAGTGTGAGTGT